TTGATTCCTAGCAGTAAAAATATTTGAACATGAACCTTAATAACTATATACCAATTTATTTAGAAAATATTTACATGTATAACTATCATAACATCATAAAATATAATAAAAATTAAAAAGGTATCAGATTAAGATTAAAGAAGATTTTAAAATGTAATTTATATAATCTAGGGCATTAATAAAAATATTTTGTAATATACAAGGCTTTATTATTATAATTTTTTAATCTTAGTTCAACTTTTAGTGATTTGGTAATTCAAAAGTTTGGTTCAATTTATCTCAATATTTTATTACAATAGCTCATTCTACAGCACTCCTACTGTAAAACTTTGTCAGTTATAACATGAGCAGAGGTGAAATAAAAATATTTAGCTAATTGTATGGGGTTGTTATTAAGCAATTAGAACAACCACCACTCAGTCAGAATGGACATAGGCTGAGACAGCTAACTCCAAAGTGTCACTCAGCTTAATGTCAACCATGATTTTAAGAAAGAGACAAGGCACTCTTAATTGCATTTGACCATGGTTTGCTCTTTTTTCTTTTTTTTTTTTAAGATTTTATTGTGGAATTGAGGGAGGGAACAGCATTGGGGAATCGGGGAAGGGGAACAGACAAGTTGCTGTACTTTGTTCTTCAGGCTAGTCGTGGAGGACGTCATTTTACTGGCCCATGTTGGTATTATGATCATTGCACTCTTTCAAGCTGAGGCAGATCGGTCGCCAGCCATTGGACAGCCTCTCATGGTGGCTCACGGCAGCTCATGCCAGCTGTCGGCCACTCACAGTAGCTTATGGCAGCCCACTGCAGCCCCACTGCAGCCTACACTGTCGCCGGTGACTCACGGCAGCTCAGCTCCAGGTCGAGCTGTTGTTCACCATCTTAGCTGTCTCAGAGGGCACAGTGTCACTGGCCTATGTGGGACTCGAACTGGGGCCCTGCTGCTCAGAGCTCACGCTCCCAAGCCAACTCCTAACCAATGAGCCACCCGGCCAGCCCAACCATGGTTTGCTCTTAAGCATTTATTTTAAAATAAAGTAAAAGAAGCACAGCCAGTCAATGCTTCTGAGGCAAAGCTACTGTTTTAATAAAAGCATGTGCAAATAACTGTTTTAAAAAGGACTTAAGCTATGGAGGAAGCATTTGGAAAAATGGATGCTTGGAAAATTTTCCACTGACACCAGATTTTTTTCTTTTCTTTTCTTTTCTTTTTTTTAATGTAGAAAAAGCTTTTCAATGTGAATATGTAAAACCAGAACTTTATAACTGAATTGGTATAAGTAATTAAGAAATGAGTATCATGATCTAGTAAAGTTAGCTAGAATTTTCTTTTCTATTTTGTACCTACTTATGTTTTTCAGATACAAAGCTATACCAGTATCTTTTTAATAAACTTTTCTGCTGAATCAGCATATTAACTTCTGTTTCTTGCAAAAGGGGATTCTGTGTAAAAACTCAATTACATGGCTAGTTGTTATATAGTGTTTATGTACATAAGTAATTTATCTTCTCTATAAAGTGTACATTCTTTGAGGGCTAGCCCCATCTCTTATTCATTGTTTGCGTAAGAATGCTGATAGTTATAAGGCAAATATAATATGTCAGGCCTGGCGCTAAGTGTTTTACAGTCCATCCTTCCAACAACCTTATGATATGGTACTGCTATCATTCTCATTTGACACCTGAGAAATCTGACGTTGATTTCCCCAAGGTCACATGGCAATCAACAGGCAGTGCTGACATCCTGAGCTCAGAGTCTTTAAGCTCAACCACAGCTTTATACTAACTAAGCTAGGGGGCATCTAACTTTAAATTACACAGAGTAGGTAGGCTCTTTATTGACACAATTAGTAAAGAAATGAAGAAACAATAATAATTTTAGGATGATTTCCTCCCTAAGCTAAATTTATTGTCATTTTCTTTGGAGAAGGCATTATTGTTATGTGTGGCCATTACATTGTAGTTCAGGTTTGTCAAAGAAGTGGCAGCTATGATTATTACTACTTCTTAACTGTAAAAAACCCAGATGAAAAGTTGGACAACTGTGGGAATCTGTTATCTAATATAGCCCTGAATTACTAGCTAAAGAAGAAAATGCTAAAAGACGGCTTTTTTTGATAGAGACTGAAATGTTTCTTTTGGGTTTTAAAAGAATAGGCAGGTCTAGAAAAAAGAAAAAGAAACAGAGCAGCAGGATTTCCTACCGCAAAGGAGAAAGAAAACTGAAAGTTATATTTAGAAAACCATGAGGATGAAAATGAAAACCATTAGGAGAAACTTGACAGGGAAAACTGTCTATTCAAGCAAAAAGCAGAAAAGAAACTAAATTACGATGCAAATAATATAGGTAAAGAAAAAAGGTACGTTGTGGTGGCTTGGCTTTTGTTTCCTCAACCTCCTTTCTCCAAAAGCAGCCATATCAAGATTATAGTAGATTCCTAAAAACAAGTTCCTTTCTGTTTTCCCTCAGCTATTCCCACCTATGCTCTCAGTCCTCATCACTGAACCTCACCCAGTAGTGATTCCCACTTGAGAGTAAATATAAATTGTTATTGATGGATATTATGTGATGGTAATGGTGAGTGTTAGGAAAGGGCATCTATTTGGAAAGTCAACCAGTAGAACTATAATGGGCATTATTATCTGGATCTCACAATTGCTATCTAACATAGTTCTGAAACTCCTAACCAGAGCAATCAGGCAAAAGAAAGGATAGAGAGAGAGAGAGGAAGGAAGGAAGGAAGGAAGGAAGGAAGGAAGGAAGGAAGGAAGGAAGGAAGGAAGGGAGGAGTAAAATTGACTCTGTTTGCAGATGGGAGGAGTAAAATTGTCTTTATTTGCAGATGACATGATTGCATATGTAGAAAATCATAAAGACTCCACCAAAAAAAAAATCTAATCAACAGTCATTGAAGTTTCAGAATACAAAATCAACAGTGTTTCTATACACTAACAGCCAAATTACCTGAAAGTGAAATAAAGAAAATGGTTCCTTTTACAATAGCATCAAAAACAATAAAATACTTAGGAATAGATCTTACCATTATCCTCATAGTATTTATCTTCACCTGGCACATTGCATTTTTCTAGTTATTATTTATTATCTGTCTCCCCACTCACATTAGAACGTGAGCTCCATAAGAGTAGAAACTTTAAATTTATTAACTCTACCTAGAGAGTGCTAGTGATATAGTAGGTATTTAGTAAATTTTTTTTTATTAGTTTCAGGTATACAAAGCAGCATAATAGTTAGACATTTACATCCCTCACAAAGTGATAACCCTCCTCCTCCAATCTACTACCCCTCTAACATCGTATATAGCTGTTACAATTCCTTTGACTATCTTCCCTATGCTGTACTCTACGTCTCGTGGAAATATATATATATATATATATATATATATATATATTTAATTATAGTTGACATTCAATATTATTTATTCTACTTCAGCTTCAGGTGTATAGCATATTGGTCAGGCATCTACACAATCTACTTAATAAATATTTTTTAAATGATTGAATGAATGAGTGATCTGAATACGAACATTTGGCTCTCTCATCAGGACAGCAATTTTGTGGTGTTAAGGAGATGACATTATTTTCCCATATTTAATCAGCAATCCAGTCTTATTCCCCAGTGTTTGAAAGTAAAGGACAAAAAGATGAGCACAGAATGTCTTTCGTTCGTTTATTTGTTTGTTTTTGGTTTGACATACTGAATGATACCTGCTGGCACATGGGGGAGGAAGGGGCCTTTCTTATAATAACCCCAAAACAAAATGAATTAATAAATAAAATTAATAATTTCAATATTTGTGTAGAAACATCTAATTCGATTCTCTTCTACCTAGGTACAAGGTGAAATCCCCAAATTAAGTAAAGATATGGTAATGCTCTCTGAAGGAACAGAAAAGAATAGGATAAATCAGGCCCACCTGTCTGGCCAAGGTTTTATCTCATTTTAGCAGATTTCACTTTGCATTTTAGGTTAGGCCAGTGGCTACCGTCAAGGCAACTAAAAATCCCATTTAGGTGAGAAATCATCAAGGGCCTACCGTTTGTATTGTACTGGTTACTGTGTAAATATTTTCTTTCTTCAAGCAATTTACAGTCCTTTAAGGAAGAAAAAGTCTTAGCTATATCATATAGAGAATAAATTTGCTATAAAGCGCTCACTTGTACATTTTGTGTGCTTCTGGTAAACTCGAAGACTGTATTTCTTTCATACAGTCCAAAGCATGGCCAGGTTTCCTGGCCTATCCAAAAATCATTGAACGTGTGTTGCTAACAAATTACTTTTCCTAAACATATCTTTTTGATAGCCTAAATGACCCCTCCATCCTCTGTATCATTCTGGACCATGAGGCTCTCCTTGTGAAGCATATATACTACCACCCACCGTCACCCAGGACTGCAGAATGCCTGAGCAGCAACATGAAGGACTCGTGTTTACGTGGCTTCTGTACTAAAATGAAGCTGCCATTTTGCAGTGTGGGTGTCTTTTTCTCCCTCATGACATAGACAAATGTTGATGTTTACTACAACTTGGTACATTAGTTGCTAATTAAGTTCCTAGCTGCTTCAGCCAAAACTTGCTGTATTGAATCCAAGAAAAGAATGGCAGCTATATCAAAAATAAGTTGTTGGGGATTTTGTTTTGTTTTATTAAAGGAAAGTTGTATATTAAAGAATATGGGAAATTTACATGCTGGGAGACAGGAAACCTTCAATGTTGGCTTTTTCTTAAGCTGAGTTGGTGGTTAAAGTCCCTCGGCGTCTGTCACCAGGCTCTCATCAAAGCCAAATAAATACTACAATCTACAGAGGAGGCACAGAAGTTAACTGTTTATCATGACTTTTTTTCATAACCACCTAGAACTTCCCCAAGGAAAGCTTTAGTTCTTGGGGACCCACAGGAGGTCAGGTTTATACCTAGAAAGGGGGCAGAGGTCACTTCATCCTGGAGTTCTGGGGTTACGCCTCTCTGGAAATGTCTCCTTAACTTCATCTCTCCACCTGTCCCTGGCAGTCTTACACCAAGGCGGTGTAAGGACCTGCCTGCATTCACCAGCCAAGGCGTGGTGACATCTGTTCCTCTTCACCTCCCTGCGGGGAAGTCCTGAATCTCGTGCTTTCACACCCTCTCCATTTTAGCTGACAAGGATTGATGAGAAAACAGCTGTGGGAAGGAAGTCTAATTTTTGAGGCAGAACCCTGCAAGGAGGACAACATACCCACAGGAGGCGCATTGCTGGAGCAGTGGTGTCTTATTTGGTGGAGGAGAGATTTCGCTTTCCTTTTCTGTTTCCCACTCGCCAGCACCAATCGGCAGAAAGAGCAACGCCCCGCCCGGCGGCTTACATTTGGCAAGTCCTGAAGAGGAGAATCGAAACAGAAACCAACGTCAGGAAAACTATAAGAGCTGCCTGGCGGAAAGCTGGGCTCAAAGTTCCTACCCGAGTTCTCAGCGGGGGCTCCCTAGGGCCAGCCCCGGAGGGCACTGCAGAGAGTCGCAGCGCTGCGCCGACCGCCGGCTACTGTCTGCCTCCTAGTCCCCCGCCCGGCGCGCCCCGCCCACCTGCCCACCTGCCAGGTGCGATCGCACGGCTGCGTGCGCCGGCCTGGGGGTCCTGAAGGCAACCCCGTTGCTGCCAGGTACATCCCTGCAGACCCTGCTACTCCAAGGCAGCAGACAGTGGTATGCACATCGCACCTGTTGAGCAGAGAACAGCAACTTGGCCGTCTACTTGGGAGAGCCGCTCCCTTTTCTGAGCAGGAAAGATGTCGAATGGGCATTCCGCAGACAAGAGTTTTCGCTATCTCATCTCATGCTTCCGGGCCAGAGTGAAAAGGTACATCCAGGTGGAGCCTGTGCTGGACTACCTGGACTTTCTGCCTGCAGACGTGAAGGAGAAGATTGAGAGGACAGCCCTCACCAATGGGAACATTCAGGCAGCTGAACTGCTCCTGAGCACCTTGGAGAAGGGGGTCTGGCCCCTGGGCTGGACTAGGGTATTTGTGGAGGCCCTCCGGCGAGCAGGGAGCCCTTTAGCCGCCCGCTACATGAATCCTGAGCTCACAGACTTGCCCTCTCCATCCTATGAGAACACGCATGATGAGTGTCTCCAACTGCTGAGCCTTCTACAGCCCACCCTGGTGGACAAGCTGCTCGTTAGAGATGTCCTGGATAAAGGTGTGGAGCTGGATCTGTTGACAATTGAAGATAGAAATCGGGTAGGTGTCAGTTGAGACGGAGCTTGGCTTTTAGGCTGATTTTGCAACTAGGGGCTGGTCGCTCAGTTGCCCAATTCCAAGTGTTCTTCGACATCTTTGGGTAAATCTGGTTTTCTCTTTCCTTGAGAAGAGACTATAATATCTAGCCATTTAATACATAATTTTGAAAATTTAAACACAAAAAGTCTATTTTTTTTCTAATCCTTTCATTGCATTAGTTGATTTCAAGAATTTTCCAACATGTGTCAGAAATCCACAAAAAAACCCCAAAAAGTTGATATTTTGATGCATTTAAAAATAACAATTTGAGCTGCTTTGTAAATAAATGACATCATTTTTATGTATAAAATTTTCAGGTATATTCATTCGGAGATGTCTGACCATCGCGGCAAAAGGGTTAAACAGAAATAAGCTAAAGAGGAGTTAATTCTAGAATAATAATGTATGCTAATAGATAACATTTATTGAACACTCACAGTGTGCAGTTAGTATCATTTACAAAATTAACAGTTCATGCTGGAAATAACACATTGAGGTGTTTAATGTTATTAACTCCGTTTTACAGATGAGAAAACTGAGGCAGGTTAAATAACTTCCCCAGAGTCTCCTAGGAAGACGGTAGCAGAGATATGGATTTAGGTCTTGATGGTGTGGAATTTTATGTCTTATTTAATATACTTCCACAGAACAGGACCAGCAAACCATGACCCCTAGTCTAAATCCAGCCTGCTGCTGGTTATTGTAGGCCCGAAAGCTAAGAAGAATCTTCAGGTTTAAAAAGTTTCCGTGTTCATAAAGTTTTATTGGAACACAGCCATGGTCATTCATTTACATACTAGGACTGCTTTTGTACTTCAAGAGCAGTTGGACAGAGACCATATGGCCCACAAAGCCTAAAATGTTTATTATCTGGCCTTTAGAGAAAAAAAATTGCCAATCTCTGGCCTATAGTATATATTATGCCATTTAATCTTGATCTAAATGGGGAAATTACATATGACACATTATTTTCTCTAAAGTTCTTCAACGTTCTCTGAGAATCAAAAGTTGGAGATAATTCACTGAAAAATATGTCTACGAGTTGCAGTTTTTCTTATTAGTGATCGAGTAGTAGATTTTTTTAGGTAGCATTCTGACGGTGAATTTTACAGGTAACTTGGCACTTAATGTAATGTTTTATTGTTCATTGTTTTTCAACGAGTGGGGATGTGCTGTGAAGTATAAAAACGGTGACTTATTTGAATCTGACTTATTCCAGATTGCAAGTCAAATATGGTAATACCTTGGTTTGCGAGCATAATTTGTTCCCGAAACAAACTACTCATATTGCAAGACATCACTCATTTTACCAAGTTAAAATGTATTAGAAATGTTTGCTCGTCTTGCAGGACACTCGCAAACCAAGTTACTCGCAATCCAAGGTTTTTCTGTATCTTATTTTGAAAGGCATGTAGGCAAATAAACCCATGACTGAAAGTCAAAGGCTTTGTCTACCATGCTATGATTTTGACATTTTTTTTCTTCCTAATTGTATCCTCACTACAGATGATTCAGATTAATTTTGTGTTCAGTGATCACCCAAAGAAACCTATTTGATTGATTTATTCATTTATTTGGTTTCAATTACCAAGTTTTGGGCCTTGGACTCATATCAACCTATGATGTGACTTAGTCTTTAGTGACTAAAGTGAATGCTCCTTTGTAGATTTGACAGCTATGGGCTTGCATCTAATTTTGAAGGCTGATTTTTTCCAACAAGTAAATTACTTTACACTGTTGTCTGTAGCGTTTATGTAGTTTTGTGTATTGAGAACCAGCTAGAACGCATTATAGTAGTCCAGCTGGATATGACAAATGTGTACATCACTGTGGCAGAATCTTAATTTGGAAGACAGTATGCAGCCTTCAAGCCAGCTGGAGATGGAAGATGGCATTTCCAGCCACAGTAGCTGTTAGAAAGTCCAGAAGCAACAGAGTCCAGTAACACCACAAAGCTGTTTATGTTTGGTGGGTATGATGTCCCGATTGCCAGCAAAACAGCACTTTTCCTTATTTACTCTAAATACTTCTGCCTATCAGCATCACTTTTGTCTTGCCTAGGTTGAATTTCCGCCAGCTAGATTTTATCCAAGTTCTTGATTCTGGCAAGCTTGGAGGCAGCTAGCAGTAATGCAAAGGAGTTGACACAAAGAATATTTCGAGTAAAGGGACATTTGTGTACTGGTAGCAGTTAAGGCCAAAGCAACCCAAACTCTCCCCCAGATTCATATTTCAAAGAAGGCTCTAAAAGATGAAAGAGTTGTGTATTTGAGGCTCTCTAAAGAGGAATAGTGTCTCTCTGAGATTCTGGAGTGATTTTCTTACATATCATTTAACATCTATCATCAGTATCAGAAATAAGCTATGGCAAACAATGGAAAGTATGCACTAGGTTTAGACGAAACTATATTGATATGGGGGTCATTGATGAATGTTTATCTTAAATGGCAAAGTGCAGTGGGAAAAGCATGGGAATTTGAGATGGAAAGACCTGGACTTAAGATCTTTGTTTCTTACTGTATATGTTACTGTGGGCCAAGTTATTTAAGTTCCCTGATCCTAAGTTTACCCATAAGAATGGACATAATAATAATTTCTCCTCTCACAATATTTTAGTGAACATGAAATTATGTTTGTAAAAGCTTTATAAATAATAGTTATTTGGATATGATGAGTTTTATTATCATTCATTTGATTACATTTCCTTGTGAATTTAGTTTCAGAGATTTAGGTAAATCTTCCATGTTGAAATTGAGATCTGCTTCTTAAAGTCCCTAGATTAAACTATGATTCGAAGGAGAAACTATATCTTTTTTAAGCCTCCAGAACCTAGCTAAGACTAGATATAGTGTTAGTGTTTAATACATATTTTTATCAATTAACATTTAAATAATTGGTTAAATTTATTTCCAAAGAGTTGTCTGGAATAAGATGAAAATGTATGATGTAATGAATTATGTTGTCAAGCATTGGGGAATAGATGGATGATGAACATAAGAGCTCAAAAGTTACTTTTTGGACAGTTTAAAGTAGCATTCAACTAAGTAAGCAGGACTTCTAAAAAAATCATATTTTATTTTAATTATTTTTCTGTTTTTTTTGTTTTTTTTTCTAAAGACTTTATTGGGGACTTGGGGAAGGGGAACAGACAAATTGCTGTTCTTTTTGTTCTTCAGTTTAGTTGTGGAGGACATCGTTTCACTGGCCCATGTTGGTATTATCATTGTGCTCTTTCCGGGTGAGGCGGTCACCCGCCGGCTATTGGACAGCTGCTCACTGCGGCTCACAGCAGCTCATGAAAGCTCACACCGCTGCTGGCCAGCCCCACTGCAGCCTACACCGTGGCCGGTGACTCACGGCAGCCCACCTCCAGGCCGAGCTGTTGTTCACTATCTTAGCTGTAGTGGGTGCAGTCGCTGGCCCTCATGTGGGATCCGAACTACAGCCTTGCTGCTCAGAGCTGGCGTCCCAAGCCAACACCTAACCAACACGCCACTCAGATGGCCCTTTTCTGTTTTTTAATAGGCATTTTCTACTTGGTCTGTTAGTTTAGAAATATAACCTTCACACCCCGTCCCTCCTCCCCATCAGTGCTTCTGAAAATGATCTTAGATTTAGTTTTATGTTCAGTGATTACACAAATAAACATACTTAATTATTTATTCTTTATTTGGTTTCAACTTATAGAATAGCATCTTTGTGCCATGATACTAGTGAAATGATTAGAGAATAACACAGATATTCTCGGTGCTTTCATGGAGCTTATGTTATAGCATTGATCAGTGTTCAATCTTCCAACAAATAGTTAAAGAATGTCTAACATATGGTAGACACTATTGTAAATACTGGTGCCTCGGCAATAAGTACAAGGGTCACTTTATGGATCATTATAGTAGAATGATCCCTATGTGTAGGGAGGGCCCCTCCACTGACTTGGTTCTATTTTAGGATATTTATTGGACGTCTTGGCTCATTCACTGAATTCGACAGCTATGAACTCTGGAAAAGAATTGATCACATATATATTTCCATAGTGTCTTAACATCAATCTGAACAGTTGAAGAAAGGTGCATGTTTTGGCTCTGACCAAGTTCAAAGCAAAAACATTTATAGTCCTGGAAGACCCCATACAACGTTTATTTGCATAGGAGAAATGAAGGCTATGACCAGTCCAGCTGGAAACCAAGTCCAGTTACCCCTACATGAAGTTGAATACCTGAGTCATTCTCTACCAGCTCCTTGTATTACTAAATTAGGATAGATAAGACTTTTATTAGCAGGAAAAAGTACTAATAGGAAACTAGTTATGTTAACATGACAATACATATTTATTTGGTAAGGCATTAACTTTTCTTTTTTTCTTTTTGTGGGTAACTAGTTCTTAGAAATTCTTTTTTTTTTTTTAAAGATTTTTTTTATTGGGGAATTGTGGGGATGGGAACAGGGCCGGGAATTGAGGGAAGGGGAAAAGACAAGTTGCTGTCGTTTTGTTCTTCAGTCTAGTTGTGGAGGACGTTGCTT